TCTCTCTCTCTCTCTCTCTCTCTCTCTCTCTCTCTCTCACACACACACACACACACACACACACACACACACACACAGAGTCTCTACTTCCCTCTCATTCTACCTCTCTCCCTTCTGCTGTCACTCCTGCAGCCCTTCCTCTCTCTCCCTTCCATTCACAATCCTGGCTGCTCTCCTTTTCTCTCTTCATCCTCAGGAGTTCCTCCTTTCCCTTTGAATGATAGAACAAAGGAGCCTGTCGTTAGAAAAAATCCAACCCCGTGCTTGCTTGCTTTTTTTTTTGAAATAACGGCGGACGCGGCATGTTTCGAAACCCTAAAGGCCAAAAAAACTCGCGCCGGCAAAGAAGCCACGCGCCAACTCGAAATGAGCGATTGCGGTCCAACAGTATCCGTTCGATTCCGTTGGGCATTTTCTTCCTTTTTTGTTTTCCCCTCTGACACCATGGCCGACCCCTGTAAATATGACACCCGGTCTGACACCACGGCAGTTGGTACTTCTGTTGCCTTTTTTAACTCGGCGCGGTTTTCATTGCCGACGCGTGTTCCTTTTGCCCAATTAGATACTCAAAGGTGACATGAACGTACTTACCCTTTTTTTTTTTTTCCTTCCAGGGGGTCTCAGGGGCCACCACCCAGCTTCGGCTTAATCGCTAGAAACGAGGTCCAACGTCCCTTTATGAAAGACAGAAATCCAAACTACACCTTGGAGGCTTGGAGCTCAAAGTAACACTCACCTTTTGTTTCAACCCTCAGTTTCCTCCTTTCAAACACTGTCAGTTGACCTCAGTTAAGCTCAGTTAAGCTCAGTTAAGCTCAGCTCAGCTGAGCTCAGCTGAGCTCATCTTAAGATGCCGAGAACAAGTCTGAGCGGCCACCTCAAAGATCCTACCCACCCTCCGTCTTACCTACCTCACTAGGCATTCCATATAGCCAACGTGCAGCTGTCGACTGTCCCGCCCTACTTCCTCTTTTCTGTTAAAAGTTAAAATTTAAAAAGTACCAGGCTACCAGCCTAAAAACGGCTGGATTCATCCTAACCAACAAGCTTCACCATCCTGAGTTCACAGTACACTGTAGTCTAACTCAGTCGTGTGCAGGCTATCCAAGGACCGATTTCAAACCGCCAGTACTTCAGAGGCACTTTTTCCGGGGCTGGAAACGCCCTGCACACCAAAAGGAACCGGCGCGGGCCTCCTTTTGGCTGGTGCCGCCAGCCATTTTGCTCTGGAGGCTGAGCCCCAAAAGTTGCGGCTGTACACAAGCCACATATGTTATTCTTTGGCTGGGAAACGTACTGGTGGTTTAAGTTTCTGTTCCCTCACTGCCACCTTTGTTTTTTTTTTTTGTGGAAAACATGGGTCCCCTTGGTTGATGCTCCTTCTATTATAGGGAGCTTCAGGCTTGGACCCCGGACCCCGGGTTTCTCCTGGGGATGCCAGGTGACAACCCTGGTAGGGGGAACACATGTTTCCCGTTTGGCCATCCCATGCGGAAAGGAGACCCTGGGGATTCGATGGGGACCGAGAAGGCAGATTTGTACTTGCTATATAGGGAAACTTTTCCCTACTCGGTAACCCAGAGCGACAAACCCGTCGAAAAATTTTGCTGCGGTGGGGTATCGGTTTCTTTCTCCCACCGCTGGTGACTAAGATTTCGGTGTTTTGACATTTCCAGGCCTCCATGCAGTGGGGTCCAAGCTTGAGTCTGGTTCCTTTTTCACTGGCAAGTCATATACGCAAAACTCACTCCAACACCTCCCCACCTTATGGCCCATGGACGGCAACATTGATTGCTTCCTTTGGGATGGATTGACTGTTGTTCTTACCCATTTTCCAGCCCCTCCCCTATTGGCTAATACACTAGGAAGAAACATGCATAAAATCAGACTCCCTCTCAGGCCGCACGTGGGGGACTGCCTGATAAACCCCTACCCCCTAGGATGCCGTTGGTCTTTACTTTCTGTGACTGACTCTCCAGTATTGGAAAGCTGCTGCGTTTGCCGGGAGGTTTTGCTGTCCTCTGTATGCCTTCCCTTCTCTATGCTGCGTGTGGCTGTCCCATGCTTGTTATGATCGCTGTTGAAGCTGAACCTCTTTGATGTCCCTCGCTCCTCTCTTCGTTTGGTTTGGGAGGCTTGTATGCCTGCTGGAGGCTGATGGCTGTGGAGGCCAGCATACTGTGTATTGAGCTTTCGACTTGTCGCTCCAGCATGTGTGTACCCTATGAGCATGGTGTCCCAGTTGAAATTTTGCTGCTGTTATCTTATTTTCTCTAATTTGCCTTCGCCCAGAGTTGCCTTGGTGAAATTTTCTGTGATTTCCCACTGCTTTTGTGGGTTGGTCTTTATCTCCCTTTCTGGTTTTGACACAGTCTGTGTGATATTCAGTTTCCAGTTCTTGTATGAGGCCAGCCCAGGCTCTTTTTCTCTTGTTTCTTGGGGGGGGGGGGGAAATTATCTCATATTTGAGTGTGGCTGGAGCTGTCGTAATTCTACCTGGGAAGATACTGGGTGTTACTCAGCCTTGCCTTAAACCACCAGTACCTCTGAGCCTCTTTTTCCAAGTGCGGATTGCACTGCACGGCAAAAAAACGAATGGCCAGCAGGGCTTTTTCTTTTTTCCCTTGGCTGGCGCCGCCGGTCATTTTGGTCAAGTAGCACTGTTCATCCAAAGAACTCAGAATGTCACATTTTCAATTCTCAAGTTTGCCTGAGCGAGGTACTGGTGGTTTATATCATCCCTGCAATCTACAGGGCAAGCGCACGGTAAAGACGTCAACCAGCCTTTCCTCGAAAAACAAGGAAGAAACAGGAATTGAAAAATTACCTGTTAGTTTGCAGAAATGCCTGAGTGCCGAAATTTTACCAAAAAGCAAACCACCTGATCCCCTACACATGCCACTTTCACTCTCAAATCACAAGCTCTATGTCTATGATGTGCCCCCACCCCCTTTCTGTCTGTCTGTCTGTCCGTCCGTCCGTCGGTCCGTCCGTCCGTCCGTCCGTCCGTCCGTCGGTCCGTCCGTCCATCGGTCCGTCCGTCCGTCCGTCCGTCCGTCCGTCCGTCCGTCCGTCCGTCCGTCCGTCTGTCTGTGTTATGTGACTGATTGAACTGCAATCCAACAGAGCACCCACATGTTCCCATACACATGCCACAATGAAAAAGCAGACCTGGAGAGGGAATTCACACCACACTGGGCTGAGATATGCACAGCGGAAGCTCAACACTCAAGAAGAATTGGAGAAAATATCAATTCGCTGTCTCTCGCCTCTCTCCATCTCAGTCAGTTCCGCAAGGACCCCAAGAATTTCAACCGAAAATAAACCACCTTGAACAAACTCAGAATTTAGCTTCAACAAGCTTCTGGAGTCATCCTCCACCCTCCAGCATCATTCTCCACTCCACTGTCTATGGAGCACAGCACACAGAACTGCAGCACCCAGCCCCAAATCCCTTAGACCACCAGTGCCTCCCTCCTACAGCCTCAACAGCGCCTTCCAAAGATCACTCAGATGCCACAGCGCAAAGGCATAGACCTCCCAGGACGAACTGCGCTAGCTCCAAGATGAAGAAGGAACCTCCATCTTGAAGAAGAAGAACTGCTAGCACGAAGAAGAAGACATGGCGGCACCTGACCCCACGGAACAGATATTGTGCCAGCAGGCTCAGCAGAGGAAGCGCCGGCTTCTTCTACTGCCTCAAAACCCTAGCAGTCGCTACTGTGCTGCTCCAGCAGCCTGGCTGCATCAACACAAGCTCAAATGGCAGCTTGCCAACTTACAACCAACCGGTCCAAGGGAGCTAACCCTTTGGACGCTCTATTATAGTTCTACACTAACCTACTAGACCAGAGTCCCAGGACCTAAGACAAAACGAACAGTTATGGGTCTTGAAGTTTGTTTTCCTGTAACAACGGTACCGGTCTCAGTAACAAAGCAGCAGCCCGGTTAGGCCTGAAGCGAGGTTTAGGGCCAGTAGTACCTGTTTAGCAATAGTTTAGGGAATTTACAGAAATGCCCTGGTCTGTTTAGGTCCATTTCAGTTACCAGTTAGGACCCAGAACTAAGAAAAATCACAAAAGTGTCCTGGTTAGTGTTACAACCCACTGGAAAAAGAAAAAAAAAAAGTGTTACAACCCACTGAGAAACTGAAAGAACGTTGCATTCCTATGCTTCGGAGAAGCAAGGACCTCCGACTCGGAGCTGATAGTGGCCACCAGGTGAGTGGCGGGGTAGCAATCCCTTCTGCTTTGCCTCGTACGCCAATACAATGGACTTGACTGTCTTGAGAAGTTCCTTCTGCATAAACCACTTGTTTTTAGTGTGTGGTTTCAATTTCAAATTAATCGCTTGAACAATGACTCAACCGGTTTTTGATTGAATAACTATAAAAAGATAGGATAAACTGTCGTGTTTCTATCAGAAGAAAAATCAAAGTTAACAACAAAAAGCTAGTAAACATCAGAAAGATGGGTATCAGCATGGAAAGATGTATTGATGTACCAAATTGGCTAAGGAACTTAACACTCACAATTGGGGCCAGTGCCCCACTGGTTCATATCCCTTTCTGGGGATAGGTGGACCACATTGAGGAGGCCTGTCTGGGAAGACATCAGAAGGTGAGAAAGGCAACAACTTTGATGCATGGAAGACAAGATAGGTTCTGAGATGGGGTGGGACATCAAAGATGTAGGGTGGACCAAGGGGATCAACTCCCACTGTATCTAGAACCTGCTATGGACCGTCGTACAAGGGCAACAACTTCCGAGAGATATCCACTTTGTTAGATAACTCAGACCTCTTTAGCCAAACCCAGTGTCGTGGTCTAATGGTGGAAAGCAAGCGGTGTTTGTTCGCCTATTCAATCATTCTCTTTTGGGCCTTATAGATGTTAGTTCGTGCCTTTTCTAAGTCTAGCTCAAAACTTCTGACAAACTCCGTAGTGCCTCGCTTTGTTGCTGGGTACCCGCACTCCCACCCGCCTGCCCGCCTGCTTGCCTTGCTATAAGGTGCCTGGTCAATGCCCACACCTAATGGGTTGACGACAGTCCGAAAAAACGGTCTGTCATTACGCCTGCGCTATTGATGTGGGCGTCCTTATGTCATGTGTTGTCTGCTTCCATTCGTTGATCTGCATGTGTGTGTGATCCTTGGGCCGTAGCCTTGTTGGCCTATGTCACTGTCCAATAGCAAATATCTTCTGCACAGTCAATCGGATCTAGACTAGACGGACTTGAGGGGCAATGTAGCAGGTTCTGCTATAGCATGGATGGGCACACACCGACTGCTCTTTTAATTTTTCTTTGTTCTTTCATCAGTTTCTTCTGCTTCTCTCACAATTTCTCTCCATTTTTTATTGTGTTTTTTATTTTTATTTTTTATTTTTATTTTTTATTTTTATAAAGGTCCATGGTGTAGTAGAGGGTGGCGGCCAGGCCTCAGGAGGTGCCCGTAGTACTCATCCATTGGGAGCTCAGATGGATTGCGAGGACCTAGAGGGGGCGAGTCGCCTCAAGATGGCACCATGATACCATTACCTATGCTAATGCTCAGATCGCAGGTCATGTGATCTGCGCCAACGCCTACCTGATTAACCCGAATGTCTTCATGCAGCCACTACCCTAACTCTAATGTGAAGGACGACACAGGCACAGGTGGGGTCCATGCATATGCAGTCATTCCCCATCTGTGCCTCATCCCACAGACTCTATGGGCAGCGAAGCACCCTTCCACTAAGATGCGATATCCCGCCCTTCCCTATCCTAAGCATGATGCCTTCCTACCCCAGGCTCCCCAAGAATCCACAGTCCCGACTAATTCCCCCATTGAGAATTTCCACGGACCCCAACCTGGATGAAGCACCACCCGCAGGCATAGTGAGATACCTGTGGGATGAGAAGTACCCAGTACCCACCCCATACTAACACCCAGTGTGTGTGTAGGATTATTCCCCCCGAGATGGGCCCTACCGTAGTCTACGTTCACTCTGTGTGGACTCTCGTAAGGGTGCCATAGTGACGGGAAACATGCTAGCTGTACCCAGACTCGACCATGGCACCCACATGGACTAGTACATACTGGCGAGACTGACAGATCGGAGGGTCCAAGTGGCCACGCAGAGGTATCGACGGTTTCGACGGTTTTGGCAGTTTTTTGGTTACAACAGTCTAGGCAGTAAACTCTCCCCCTTTAATCTACCCTAGCCTATCCCTCCCTCCCCCTCCCCCAGCCCATGGTGGAACCATTATAAGACCCTGATCCTCAGACCCCCTAGGAGCAAGCACTCAAGCAGCCCTCCCTATGGCCCTACCAGCATACTACAACCATGGACCTAGACCCCTTGGGCGGTGCGCAGGCATTGTCTGTATAAATTTTACCATGAGTTGTCCCAAGGGGGGATCTGTGAATGGCTTGTGCGTTATGAAAGTGCTTTCCGGTGTACGTGTGCAAGGCAACGGAGTTTTGAACCCACAACCTCATAACTCAATGCGCATTTCCAACTGGTGCTCTAACCACTGTTCCAACAGCTATTCACCTTGTGTGCATTTTACACATCTGGTTTCTTTTTTTTTCTATGGTTCAGGGTGGGGCAGTTGGCATTTCAGCTCAAGAGCGCAGGTACCAACGCGCCTCATCAGTATCCCGCACCGGAAGACCTTTGCGGTGCCCAGTCGCACAGGCGTCTCCCTCGGTGCTCCTGAGGTGCTGCAAGGAGCCCTTCCGTTCTCATCAAGAACCGCATAACCCCAACGGGTACAATTTATCGGGCCATGCCTGACCCTGGGAGGCATGCCAGAGTGCTCAGGACCCCCCTAGTCGACCGAGACCATCCATCGACTAGGCTCGGACAGGGAACCATCAGCCTGCCCCTGAACATCCACTCGGGCATGGCAGGGATCGAACCAGCAACCTGCGTCCCCAAAGAACGGGTGTATTCCGAGGTCTGACGCCTGGCCTGCAGCATGCGCCACAGGTGCCCCACCGTGCATGGCAACGCTCGAACCCGCAACCTGTGGAAGTGAACACAGAGGCACCCAATCCATCTGGGCTACAGTGCAAACACAGTGTGCAAACGGCCCCAAGCTGTGCGCAATGAATCCACAATATCAATATTCAGAACATCACACCGGAGTGCAGGCCAGTAGATTCAAACCCACACCCTAAGCCACAATGGTGAATATTGTGGAATACCAATATCCAGTACGGCGCACCAGACTGCAGGCTTGAAGATTCGAACCCACAACCTAAGCCACAAAGGTGCATAACCGATAGCGCTGGACCAACTGAGCTAGGGGCCATTCACAATGGCCCTGTCCCCACATCCTTTCAAATTCAAAAATGGACACAGGTCTCCTTCTGGTTTGGATAAAATCTGTGGCCTGGCGGTTGAGGATACGGAGATGAGGTTCAGGAAGAGGGCTGGTTTGTAGGAATGGCTCCTCTCTCTCAGGGGATCTGTTGGGAGAATTTGGGGTATATTACTGGCGTAACCAATACGCTCAGAACTCTGCTGAAGGGAAAGCTGGGACAATTGGCAGGGGGGAGAGAGAGAGAGAGAGAGAGAGAGAGAGAGAGAGAGAGAGAGAGAGAGAGAGAGAGAGAGAGAGAGAGAGAGAGAGAGAGAACTAAGGTTTACAAGATCGGCAGATGCAGTTGGGTGCGAGCTGATATGCATCCAATTCCGGGCAGGGGGTACACAGAGCCTCACCTCGGCCACATTTGAGAGGAGATCAGTGATTCTGTGTCACACGGTCAAGAGATTTGTGTGTGAATGCATGTCTAAGGCCAAGTGAAAGGCACACCCAGTCACTCGACACATTGCATCTATTGCCATCACATATAACTTGATCACTAAAACAGCGTTAGCTCACAATGCATGTGTTTATCTGCTGTGCTATTCTTGGTTTCTTAACAGATGGACTGTGGCCAGAGCGCTTCGATGGAGGTTGGCCTTCATGCTGCAATGTTGATGAATATCCTTATGAGCCTGAAAAGGTAATTAGTACATACTACACTGTTTTTTATTATTATTATTATTATTATTATTATTATTATTTTTTTTTTTTTTTTTGAAAACACTCCCATCAGTGCTAGTGGTGCTAGTAGGAGCAGACACCACTAGCACCTTGGGTGAGGCTCCATCTATTGGTGGGGAGCATCACCTGCTGGAAAACGGGTCCAGAGTCCCTTTTACAGAATGATTCAGGAAAATTCAGGAACATCAGGAACATCAGGAATAAAACAGTATCTGGGGGAAAAACCTACCACCCCGACTATTCTTCCTCCACAACAAAATTCCCACCTTTGACAGCTCCCGCACCTCTTCACCATTCCTTGTGGTGCCAGATCTCACCTGCCAAACTAGTGCTGAGCTTCCTATGTCATGGGTGTGGGCTTTGTGAGTAGGGATGAAACCTTAAACCTAGCCCCCTGCCTAAACCCTCCTTTTTCTCTCTTGAGATTATCCATCCATTCCGTAGCACTGCATTTCCACTAGACAATTTGATGGGGGGGAAAGGAGTCCGGGAATTCATCAGGAGGTTTCAATGGGATTGCTGCATCCACTTTGGTCCATCGTGGAACATCAATCGGTAATCTCTTACTATCTCTGTTCTTCCTTGGCCCTCCCCTGATTCCTTGTGTTCTCCGTCCCATTCCACCATTCCTATCCTCCCTCCGTTTGCCCCCCCAAGCGAGTTTGAGCTGAATTCCTGAATTTTTTGTTTGATGTCCTTTAGCCTGCCCAGGAGTCGGATCTGTGCTTTGACTCCCTCCCATTTTGCAGATATTTCTGTTTGGATCTGTTGTTGTACACTTTCCGTTAATTCTGGTCCTTCTAACCTCGCCCCCTCCATCTCGAAGGTTCAGCGTCGTCTCCACAGTGCCCAGAGCACCGCCCTTCGTCCGAACCTGAACATGTTACCGGTGAATTCGTCAAGCTGGTCTATCTGCCTCTTGGGCCAGGCTTCGCACGGCAAGGCTCTCCAGTCCGAGGGCCACTGGACCTTCGTTCCTAGTTGCTCCCACACTCTGTCCCACCATCTCCACAGCCAGAGTGCACCTGGGCATTAGAGGAATATGTGTTCTATTGTTTCAGGCCGTTTCCTGGATGGGAATGCATTTGTGCACAACTTGCATCATGGGAGAGCACGCCCTCTCTGCTCCATGGACGTTCTATCTATCAACCAGTTATTTGTTGGTAGGCAGCAGTGCTCAAGCTACCATTGGAGTCAGGCCAGTTTGGCCGGTTTTGCAGTGGCCATCCTGAACCATCTGATTGGTCTAAGTTCCTCTTTGCTGATTTTCAAGTAGTTTCTCCAACTTGAACGCTCCTCCACCTGGTCTCGAACATTGTTTTTTTTTATCTTAGGAGCCTATAGGTTGATTTGACTGTTAGGCCATATAGTGATTTGGTGGATCGCTTGCCTTTCCCCTTTTGGGTCGACCATGACCATTCCAACGGATCCAGGGCTAAGTGGTGGACGGGGGTACTGGGGAAGTAGGCTATCCATTGCTCTTTTTCATGGAGCACTCTCATTCTATATAATTCCTCCTTTTGGCATGTTATCGTTTCTTCTGGAGTGTTTCTTTGGATAACATTGTCTTGCCATACTTGGAAGAGGTTGACTACTGGGGAAGTAGGCTATTAACATGTTCTTTGCAGGAAGCAGCGGACTACATTGCCCACATCTCCTTGTCGATCCCGAAATGCCACCCAGTCCGACTCTTGCAGGGTAGGGCCTTTGTGAAGTATTCTCCACCATGCTAGGGGGATCTTTTCTATTATCGCCTCCAGAGGTTTGTATGGTCGGTGGCAGTACCACAGTCTCTCCCTTAACTGGTTGGGTCCAATCCAGTCTTTCTTGTCCGTGTCTCATATGTCGTTTATCCTTGTTATCCCTCGTTTGACCCAGCCCTGCCAGGGGGAATCCGTACAATGGAGCAACTGGCCTTGCGAGTCCACCAGCCATCTGTTACCAAGAGGGGTTGACGTACCACTTCCTCCTATCTTTCAGGTGATGTTTTGTCTGGTAGGGGGAGGTTTCTTCATGTTTTGAGGAGGGTGGGCCAGAAGGGATCATTTCGTAGGTCAGCCCTAGCTGCTTGTCTGGGGGAGTCAGGGTGGGAGTCCCTTTGCTGTGATCTTAATCTTGGGATGAACCATCCCATGTTTTCCAACCACATTAGCGGGTCAGTCCCGACCGATATTTGTGGTGCCAACCTGGAGATTTGTTCCAGGGCTAACCCTCTCCAGGTTGATTCAAGATTAAAGAGCATGCGCTTTAGCCACTGTATTGTCAGTGCTTTAGTTTGTGTTAAGGGGACAATGATGCCCAGGCCTTCTTTTATTCTGGGCTGGATTATGGAATGCCATGCCACTCGGCTGATCACATTTTGTTCTCGTGGTCTTCCCGCCACAAAAAAACAGCTATCTGGCGTTGCAAGGGGCGTAAGGCGTTTTTGTCCAATGCCCAGATAGCTGATTTGTACCACATCGAGGCCAATACCACGTTGTTGATAACCAGGGAGCGTCCAAACAGTGAGGTGTGCTTGTCTTTCCAGAGTGCCATTTTTGTTAGGGGCGGCCTAGAGATCCATTCATTGTTTGTTGATGGTCTGCCTTCTGCCACCATGGAGATTCCTAACACTCTAATGGGAGACATACTACACTGTATTACAAACTGCACAGTCGTTTTTTTTTTTTTTTTTTTGAAAAACAGAATGACTTCCTTAATAATATGATAATATGATTAATATCCATATTCGACACTCGGTTAATGGAAGGCCCAAAATTCAGGGTTTTTCGCCGCATCACTACAAGCAATGTCGTCGAAACTTTTGCAAACAAATCATGCAGGTTCATAATACTAACATAAAAAGACCAAACAGGCAAAACCATACAGGCTCATAATACTAACATAAAAAAAACAAACAGGCAAAAAAAATTGAAAAAAAAAATTGAACAGCACTATAAAACCCTATTCGAAGTAGCTTTCGAAGTTCGCCAAAACGCCCGAATTCAGTGTTTTTGCCAACTTTTTGGTTACTCGTCCAAATACGCCGAAACTGAATACAGATATACCCTAAAGCTTATACATATCAGACCAAAAAAAAAAAAAAAAAAAAAAATCAGAAAAATATGGCAGTTTCGGTGAAAAATTCGCCGAAAATGACACCACCTATTGACCACAAGTGATTGCAAGGAATATGAGCGACAGCGATAGACAGAAATCCAAATTACAAAATCACGCTGTAGTCCAGATAGTCATGTACCAAGCAGAGAGCACAATGCACCAAGATACCATCCAACTAAGAGCAATACAATGAACTCAAATGTCAATGCCGACGCTTTCTGGCCACACCAACATAGTATCCAATGTCGCTCCTACTATCTGATGCCCAGCGCCCAGCCTACACAACTCAGCCTACCTAGCCTATGTACGTTCATGCAACAAGAACACATTGAAGTTGAAGACCAATGTACGCGACTTCAATCTCCAATGCAGATCGCCAGCATACACCAGGTATGTATCTCACTCCTCTCCTCATCACCACCTGTCTCCCGACTGCATGCCCCTCCTACCTGAAGACCAGCATCACCATCACCAGCCACCACACGCACAGCCTGGCTATGGTCGCCGTGAGCCCGCTGCCACAGCAGCGCCCTCTCACCTCTAAGCGCCCGTGTACGCCCCAGCCTGCCAGCGCTAAACAGTGCTCACGCAACACAGCAGCAGCGTGGCCGCAATGTCTTGGCAAGCCAGAATGTTGTGCCCCAGGGCGCTCACTTTCCTTTATGGAAACCTGGCTTCTGCCTGCTCTGGGCCTGGCGTGTAGGGGCCCAGTAGCTTCAGGTTGGCCCAAAGTATATCTTCCCCCAGGCCCAGTTTCAGATACTGGTCTGGGCCCCGTGCAGTTAGACACGCCCAGGTAGCGCACGAGGCTTCAAGTGTTTGGCGCCTTCTCATTGACTCGTGGCATGTGTGTGACACAGGAGCTGCTTTCTCATTGGTCCGCAGCCGCTATGTGACATGTCGACCTCTGGATGCGTGTACCCAGTGCCTCAACCGAATGAGGCCTGGAAGGGACCGGGGAAGGCTCACGTTGCTCTGTGACCAACTGGCGTGCTGCAACTGTCTGATAGCCCACGTACGGAAAATGTCGAAAATAGGCCTCACGTGGATATGCAGGCCCGTCTTCACTTAGGGCGGGCGAGAGGCTTGCCGGGGGCCTGAGCCCGGAACGTTGGTATGCCCGATAAGGGCCCTTGCGGGGGTTCAATCCTCCCATTATTTGAGAAAATGAGCTTAATACACACTGTCTACTTTTCAGTATGATGTAACATGGTGGGCTGTCTACTGTATACTTCCCACTCTTGCTGCTGGGCATGGGCCAAGGCGAAGATGGTTGGAAAAAGAAGACATAAAGAGGCTAAGACTCTTAGATACACAAACATTTGGGGACAATGGGGGTATTTGTGAGCTCTGCCCGTTTGTCACAGTTTATGCAAGCGGGTCGTTATGGCACACAGAGATGTGGGCAGCTTGCACTCAACTACATCAACATGGCGGGCCTTATATGTGAGAGGTACAGTAAAGAGGGAGCTTAAAGAAGGAATAAAAGAGAAACCGTGAAAGAAGGCCAAAGTACGAAAGAAAAGAAAACTCAGAATGCATTCCGCAATATTTATACCATTTTTGACTTGCTGGACCCACCTGTTGAAATGAGGAACTGGGTTACGGCTCTCCAGAACGCAAAGGAATGTTGGCTGTGAGCCCAGCGTTTCTTTTTGTTTTGGTGGATCCATGAGTGCAGTCATGTGGGCTACGCTCATTTCGTTGCACGGCTGAGTTGCACTGGATAGGTGCTGGGTTCAAGACCCGCTGATGTCACCCTCTGACAAGAACGAGGGTGGTTCAAGTTGCTGGTGCGGGTCCCTTCACCGTGTAACCCGAAGCCAATCCCGGAGTTTGGTCCGGTCAACAGATCTGGCCCCTATCAAGGGGGTTGTTGGCTCAGGGCACTACCAGGGGGGGTGACCGACCGAGCAGGTGGGTTCAGTAGAATCAATACCCATTCAGGTCGGCCAGGCAGTTGGAGAGGGCACATACCTGTGAGAATAATTCTGATGTTGAATTCTGACTATAGTTTGTGGGTAATGGTTGCATTCTATATTTATGTATATTTACCTTCTTTTATGAATGGAATTATTGATTTCATATTGATATCATAAATACATTTTGTTTTTTCAAATGAAGGAGTACTCGGAAGCCGGTGTCTGAGAGGTATGGCTCTGGGCTATGTGGCCATGGACTATAGTTTGTGGGTGATGGTTGCATCCTACTCTGATGTTGACAATAGTTTGTGGCTATGGGATATGTGGCCATGGACTATTGTCTTCCAGATATCTATAGGAGTCGTACCTAAGACAAAAATGAGCTAAGGATGATGAGTCTAAGAAGTAATAATAGCTGATTATAATTCTGAAGTTCCTGGAGTGGTCATCTGTGTCTGTGGATATATCTCAACACGGCCGCCTTTTAAAAGGATAATGAGAGAGGGATGCAATGCTACTGTGGACCACTTTGGGGTGCAGAACTCGTCCGACTCGATGACTTTTTTTGAAGTTTTTGTTTTTCCATTTTTTTTTTTCTTTTTTTTTTTGTTAGAAAATTTGGACCATTTCTCGATTTATGCGTGTCATCCTTGCGCTGGGGCCATGCTAATCTTCATTCTCTGTATCGTTCCAATTTTAACGGATGTCCCGAAGGACTTTTTCACTTTTTTCGCTTGTGCTTTTCTGTTAATTTTCTTGTTCCAGATCAAAGACCTTCAACGTCAGCTGGATTTGGACTGGCCATCACTGCGGTGCAAACCTCCAAGTGGATGCAGCAATCCAGGGCAAGGAGGCATTCGATCATTCCACAGACATGAGGTGACCTACAATTTTGCCTCTACCTTCCTCCCCCGAATAGAACGTACGGTCATTTCTGCTGCATCTGGCCTAAAAGGTGAGCCAAATTCGGCTACAATGACCGTACGGCGTATGTTCTATTCGGGGGAAGACGGTAGTTGGTACATACAGCGCGACTTTCTTTTTGTTGCCAGATTATTTTGCTGCAATAAGTCTTTTTTTTTTTTTTCAAAAGCTATTAACTCTTCAAAGGCCCTGCTCTTTTTTCTCGTTGCACTTTTCTTCGTGCTTTTTTTTTTTTTTTTTTTTTTTTTTTTTTTTTTT